ATAAAACCAGAGGCAATTAAAGCTTAGTCAGTTTCAACTGTCTTAGCTCATCAAGAATACAGGCAGTATACACACAAGTAGATAAAAATCAGCTTGCTAGAATTATACTACACATAGAAATCTTGCTTAAGGTATGTTAATTGACCACTAAAGAGGAACTGTAAGCAAAAGTAGCTTTCAAATGACAGCAATGCAGGTTAGGGTATAGTTTGGAGGAGGAACACAGCTAAAACGCGGTCATGGAGGATGCAACAGAGAAAATTTAGAGAATTATCTTTAAATTAGATATGTGATTCCTATACTGAGTTTTTGTCAATATAACATCATCATAAACTAAGGACTACATTCAGGCAGACCTGAATTTGAGTCTTGACTTTACTCTTTCTCTTTGAGGATATCACTTAAAAATCTTTGCTTTCTCCCTGTATAATAATGGCATCTCCCTTGTAGGGAAGTTAGAGGATTAAATAAGATAAAGCATATTCCAGTCTGAACCAATATATGTTAACTGCTGTTAGTTAATGTATGTTCCTTCTATAGTATTAAGACTGAGGGGGCCAATCAGTGAGCACACCTCACAGCCTAGGGAGCCAAGCACAGGGCGGCCTGCTTCCAGTTTCCTTTGGATCAGAGTCTGGACAAAGGCACAGCTGGCATCCTGTCCATTCCTGAGGGTGGCAAGATAAATCCCTTAAAGCATCCAAGAAGCAAGCTAAGACAATGATGTGGAAAACAACGCCTGCAAGCAGAAACAGAATGAGGAGAGAAGAAACTCCAGGAGCTGGAAACGAAGGCCCCTGGTCGTAGGTGTAAGAAATCTGCAAAAAGTATGCTATTCCTTGTCCCTGAGATGATGGTGATCCTTGATTCCATTCCCATTCAACATCTGAATTTCCTGCCATAATATCTCTACAACTATAGATAGAATGGAGTTTTGTCTAGGACTCTAAACATTAAGAACCACCTTTAAAACAAAAATCCTCATTTGTCAGCCATACCTACCTCAGCTGTAAATTTAAAGTAAATCCAGCCTAGATTCCTCCCATATTCTGCTTTTTGTTCGACTCTTGAATTCTGTATCATCTTAAAATTAATCCAATTCATAAAAAAAAGACTGGACTCCTGGATTGGAAGCTTGGGATCTAAAAACTCCAGTTTTAAGAATAAACATACAAGACCCCAAATATAAAAAACGATCCTTAATAGAAAGAATAGTGCTGGAGGAATATCAATACCAAATCTCAAACTCTACTACAAAGCCATAGTAATCAAAACAGCTTGGTACTGGCACAAGAACAGATCTCAGGACCAATGGAATAGAATTGAAAGCCCAGAAATGAACCTACAGATATATAGCCATCTAATCTTCGATAAGGTAGCTAAAAAAATAGAATGAAAGAAAGACAGCCTCTTCAGTAAATGGTGCTGGCAAAATTGGTTAATCACTTGTAGAAAACTAAAGCTAGATCCCTATATATCACCCTGCACCAGAATCAACTCCAAATGGATCAAAGACCTCGGAGTCAAAGCAGACACTCTGAAAACATTACAGGATGGAATAGGAGAAATCGTAGGTCTTGTTGGCACAGGCTGAAATTTTCTTAATAGAGACCCAGAAACACAACAAATTAAAGAAAAGTTGGACACATGGGATTGCATAAAATTGCAGAGCTTCTGAATGACAAAGGACATAGCTAGCAAGATCAATAGAAAGTCCACAGATTGGAAGAAGATCTTTACTAGTCATACAATGAACAAGGATCTCATATCTAAAATATACCTGGAACTCAAAAAATTAAATCCCCAACAACAAATCCTCAAAGAAACAACTGCCCAATAAATAAGTGGGCTAAAGATTTAAGGAGAAATTTCTCTAAAGAGGAAAGGATGGCCAATAGACACATGAAGAAATGCTCAACCTCCCTAGCCATAAAAGAAATGCAAATCAAAACAACATTGTGATACCACCTCACCCCAGTTAGAATGGCTTTAATCAAGAACTCTAATAACAACAGATGTTGGAGGGGATGTGGACAGAAGGGAACCCTACTGCATTGTTGGTGGGAATGTAAACTTGTTCAACCACTTTGGAAAGCAGTATGGAGGTTCCTCAAAAGACTCCACATAGAGCTCCCCTATGACCCAGCAATCCCACTTTTGGGCATTTACCCAAATGATCACAAGACCATACTAAAGCTACCAGCACAACTATGTTTATTGCAGCATTATTTACCATAGCTAAGATATGGAACCAATCTAGATGCCCCTCAAGAAATGAATGGATCAAGAAAATGTGGTATATATACACAATGGAATTCTATGCCTCCATCAGAAAGAATGGCATTACCCCATTTGTTAGGAAATGGAAAGACTTGGAAAAAATTATATTAAGTGAAGTAAGCCAGGCCCAAAGAAACAGGTCCCATGGTTTCCCTTATTTGCAATAACTAGCATATGTCTGAGATAAGCAGAAAAGGTCAGATAAGTTGATGTTAGGTGAAATGAACTCCTAGGTAAGTATTCAAATGTTTTTTCTTTCTTGAGATTGTTTCTAACATATTTATGATTTCTTTGTTGTTTTGTATGTCCCTCCCCCATGGTATAAACCTGCTTTCATTATTTCTGATGTTGGTATAATTTGTGGAAGGGAAGGGCAAAAATAAACCGTTTAAATAAGGATACAGGTTGACCCATTGCAACAACAAGATGTACAAGTCTTTATGTCCAAAAACGAACTTTACAACTTTGGCCGGGGCAGGGGGGGGTGGGGGTGGGAAGGGGGTAGATAGGAAGGGGAAACAAAGCAGGAGGCAACAATGCTTGATATGCACCCATTACCTTGCCCATGTAATTGTAACTCCTCTGTACGGTATTTTCACAATAAAAAAAAATGAACTGTGAGAAAAAAAGAATAAACATGCAGAACTGTTAATGATAATATAGCTGAACCTAGTGACTTGAACTTACAATCCTAACTAATCTGGAGGTAGAGATCAGAAAGACTGAAGTTCAAAGACAACCCAGGAAAAACAGTTAATGAGAACCTATCTCAACCAATAAAAAGTTGAGCACAGTGTTGCGTGTTTGTCATCCTTGCTGTGGCACAGAAAGACAAAGTGTTAAAGAGGAGGCCATTGTCCTGACTCTTTTTGGCAGAGAGAGAGAGAGAGAGAGAGAGAGAGAGAGAGAGAGAGAGAGAGAAAGTGAGGCAACAAAAACAAAGAGGTAAACAGACAGATACTCTATTTGAAAAATAGCAGGTAAAAAGAGTGGCTCAAGAGATAGAATGCATTCCCAGCAAGTACAAAGCCCTACATTCAAATCCCACTACTGAAAAAACAAACAAGAAAATAACAACAAATTCAAGCAAATGTAGTTTTTTTCTAATAGCAATATAAATTATTTTTTGCTCATTTCAAAACTGTATCTCTTTAATAAAATTTGGTCATTGGGCCAAATATTAGTGAAAAACATGATTGGTCTTTTGAGCTTCTTGGGCATTTCTTCCATAGTAGGAGTGACACTCATTTTCCTCCCAATTCTATGGTTAGCTCAGAATCTTAAACATATTAAATGTCTTGGTTGTAGTAGAGACAGTCAATATAGCTGAATTTCCCTGTCGGTAGTTATCCTGAACTGAAAAAATTTTGCAATTTTTTTCATGAGTGACTGAGGATTTTAGTCCTGTACTTTTGAGTCAAGATCCAATGATGATGATGGTTGAGAATATAGGTATAAGAGACATAAAGACTTGTGTACAAATCCTGACTCAATAAAACATAATCCAGGGCAAATCAACTTAACAAGCTTCTTTCCTTGTCCAGAGAATTGGGATAATAAGGAATAGGTCTTCTTAAGCATACAGAGCTGATCTTTTCAACCCCTGTTATCTACAGTAATGAGTTGGGGGACATGTTTCCAATTCTAGTGTTAAAGTGGACATATATACCTTGCTCTGAGTGAAAAGTTAAAAATGAAAGTATTTGCTTTGAAGAAAATTGCAACTTTTCTGAATTAACTGACCCAGATTGTCTGTGGCACTTTATTCTGCAATGGGATTTAGATCTCAGAAAACAAAGCTTCAAGAGAAATACTAGCTTATTTGGAAAACCATCTATCATAATTCAGCCTTCAGCTATTTGATTAATGAAAATAAGTAAAACATTATGTAACTAGTAATATGAAATGACTGTAACTTAAAAGATCTATAATAATTCACCAAATGATAATTTCAAATACTTAAATCATATAGTTTAGAAATCCAATTTAGAAATATAGTTCAATTTCATGATTAATGATCATTTTTAAAATAATCATAAGTTCACCTTGATTTTCTCCACTAATGGAAAATTGGAACTATGGTTAAGTATATTATAGAATAATAATGTCTTATTTTTCTTTTGAATAATATTAGAAAATTTTAAACTACCTATTAGTGTACATTCTCAGAAAAATATTAGAGGAAACAAAATTAGCTCCAATTAAAATGTTGTATCTTCCTTAGCAATTAAAATGTGTCATTTTACATTAAATATTTTATAACTGCTCTTTATTAGAATTGATTAAAGTGTTACAATTTCTCAGCCTCTAATTTAAATTCATGTACATTTCAGGAAATTTTCAACAACTCATCTTTACCTGATGAGGTTTTGATTAAAACTTACTCTTTGGTGTTGTACATGTGTAACATAGCTTCAACCATTATATTACCACTTGTCATATGCAATCAAGAGGAAAGAAATTCTTATTTGCAAATGTTTTGGCTTACATTTTCAATATCATTAAAAATTGGATTAGAGAGCAAAGGCTTCTATGACTATACTTACAGAAAAACGAAAGCATCAGAAAAATGCATGCTACAAAATTTCATTACATTCATTTTCTATCATTTATTTTCAATTTTGTCATGATAGTTAGCTAAACAACAACAATAGCAGCCCAGAAAGTTTAAAAGTATCAAAGGATTAAATGAAACCAAACAAAATTGAAATGTCACTAACCCAAAGCATGCACTGTTCCTCTATGCTTGCTGGAGCTCTTGCTGGTCTTAACCACACGAACAGCATTTTCTTTGAACAGCAGCTCACAGAAATTTTGTAGAAATTTTGCCATTTCTTCTGTAATCGTATCCAGGTATGTTTCTTTAATAAATTTCACTGTTGAGGATGGCGCTAAAATTTCACATATCGTATTAAAATCCTCTTTTATCACTGAGTATAACTTAAGCATGGTACTTTCATATTCATGCACTATTACGTCTAAATTCGAATCTCTGTTATAAGAAGGAAAGTAGTCCTGCAGAAATTTTGTTAGCTGTTTATTCTGTATGTTTTGGTACTTGACAATAACTTCATTTTCTGGATAAAGAAACAATAGTTTTTGTATGCATTGATTTTTCAATAAAATTTTTTGCTGTGGGTTATTTATTTCATTATGTCTTTCTAATTTGCACACTAAGAACCGTCGAAGATGCAGTCTTACATCATCCCATATAGACTTTACTTCCACAGAAGAGTGATCTTCAACTGAATGAAGGGAATTCCTAGAGAGGGTATGGAAAGATATTCCGCTTAGAGTCGATGGGAAGCAAACATTGCTCTGGCAGGAGAGGTCACAAAGGAAATCCAGTATCATTTCTTCTTGATTTTGTTCTTTTGTCAACAAATCTTGCTAATAAAAGTAAATTATACCATTAGAAATGTGATCAAATCTAAGCATACAATAAAAAATTACTTCCATAGGCATGCACAATTTCACCATTTATTTCAATTGAGAATCAATATTCTGATACGCTTCAAGATTTTTTTTGCATTTGGAATTGGGTCAATGCAATATTTTAGAATGTTATATTTTATGATTTTTTTTAATTTTGTAAAGCTCAGTTGATTAACTATTCAGTCAATTAGACTTTTAGACATATAGGCTTTCAATAGCTTTCAGTGTTACCTACCTCTAATATAACCTGAGCTGGATGAAAGGTATAACTTAAAAATTCTAAATAAAAACCTTGAGTACAACATTCATTGAATTGTATTCCCAAGACAAAATAAATTCAAGATACTCATAATAAATTCCTGGTAGATAATTTTTATGCACAAATCAATGTACTTGTTATTATAAAAACCCCAAATGAATATATACTGTTTAAAATCACTCTGAATAAGGCAGAAATCTTTAAATACGGGATGTGATTTGGGGCTACTAATAGCTACCATTCTGAGAAGTAAAATTTAATACATTGAAAAATGTCACCTTTCATTTAAATTCCTTTCTGAGAACCATGTTAAGAAAGATTTTACTTTGAAAATTAATCTGAGAATATTTCTGTTCTCTCCAAAGAAATGACTGACTCAAAAAGGATAAAGATTCTCTCAGAATCGCTCCCCAAAAGATGATATAAAATTATTCCTTTATACGTTCTGTGGTGATAGAAAACAATGGTGAGTAAAATTATAAATAATAAAAGGACAAAATGGTTTTCTTTTTGGACTTAGAATTACACATATTCTTTACATGCTGACTTTCATACTTATATCTATTTCAGCTAATACTAAAATTAGTTTATATCTTGAAGCAGAAACAAGCTGATTACAAAAGAAATGGAAGCAAAGCCCAAGTGAATAAAAGTGAGTCTGTCTTTGAAATTTCTTACTGATGCCACAGGTACTATGTGTGATTGAGAATAACAAACAGTTCCAAGACTGATTCTTGGAATTTGCTCTCAGTCACTGTAAGCACAGCATACCAAATTTAATGTTCTATTGGTAATAATTATACTCCAAATCTCTATGTTTTATTATATAAAAAGTATTTTCCACAAGGTTCACTGGTTTATTCATAATGAAAACTCTGTGGCTTAGAAAAAGCCAATTTACACATAATTTGAAACACGCTTAAGTGAATTTTCAAACATCATATACAATAAGGCACAGAAGGAAGAATAGACCTCAAGCTCATTCTCTTCTCTTTTTATTGGGGGGTGGGGGGGGGTAAAGCAGGGATTTGGAGGCAAGTAGTCCTGGGGTTTAAATTCATGACTTCATACTCAATAGGTTGTTCTATCACTTGAGCCATACCTCCAGCCCTGCTTTTCATTGGTTATTTTTAGAGATGGAGCCTAGTGAATTTTAATGCCTGGGCTGACCTCAAATCACCATCCTCCAACACTCGGCCTGAGTAGGCAGGATTGCAGGCATGAACTACAAACACCCGGCATATTTGCCTTCTTTCACACTACAGAACCAAAGAACGTGTAACTTTTCTGTACCATTTTTTTCTCTCTTTTCTCCTCATTTTCAGTTCTTTTGATACTTCTGGAAAAGAAATGTCCATAAAGAGAGGGTAGGACATGTCAGCACTAAGGTCAATTTTGTGAGGTAAATGAATTATATTAGTGATTCAGCCTTGGGTTTAAGTCACTTAATAACTATAAATATTTGATCAAAGAATAATTAATTACAGAGACAAAAAACACATGTTTTCTGCATTTATATTTTTTCTGCATTTATATTTTGAAAACTTGCTGCAGTATAATTGTCAGAATGAGAAGCTGTTTCTACTTTAAATACAGAAATAATACAAATCTTCTATAAAAAATAGGTATAAGAAAAATGAAAAGATTGACACTTTTAGCCAACAGAAACTTGATAATAAGGTCATTTTAATCTGGATCTGTTTTCATAATGTGGTTTGTTCCTTAAAGCAATATCAACAATTATGTTAAAAAACAACAACAACAGTAACAAAATTCTAGGTCTGGCAGTAGCCTATCAGCATAATGAGTTTGAACAAAACTAAGGCGGCCTTTGCCCTGAAGTGAATAGAGAGTGACTTATGTGTGACAGATTAAAAGATAATTAAATGCTTTTGCTTTTAATTAAATGAGAAAGCATTATTACATCAATATTAATGAAATTCAATACACATGGCTCTTAATAGAAATTAAAGGAATAACTATTTCCATATTTATTCTTCAAGGCTCCACCTTCAAGAGATAATGGGTGAGAAGATTTTCTTAAAAGATTAAGGCTTCAGGGCATGTAGTCTTCCTTTCTCTTCCTTTTATTACTTTGTAAACATTAAAGGACATCTGTAATAATAGCAACAGCCAAGAACTATTTTCATCTGATCTTTCTTCCTAAGCCATCTATAACCTCAAGATATTTTCCACATCTGCCTTAGTTAGTGTCTGATGTTCAGACAAAAATGGTGCCTTTTTCCCCCTAAATTAAATTAAAACCATGGCTCCAGAAACACTGCTTTCTAACAATTGTGCCATGCCTTTGGGAATCTGTTTTTGTAGGCTAGTCACCCTGGTAGGTGTAGGTGTAATAAAATAGCTGTGCTGTGCAAGGTTATAGACAGTGGCCAGCATCAAAGAATGTATAATGTAATAATTTTTAATCAATTAAAAATGGTTGGGTATACACTGCTGTCTTGATTGAGAAGTAGGTTGGGAATGCAGAGAATGAGACAAGATCACCTATTAGATATAATTGATGGAGATCTTATTATGCTTAATACCGAGCATCGAGAAAAGTGGTGTTATGAAGGAGGAAGAAATATAATGAATATGAACTCTGGAAACAACTGCAATACACAATGATACATTTTGTGTTATTGATATGCTATGTATCACAATATAAATCATCTAGGGATTATAGTATTTAACTTCCCTTTTATTTTTACTATGAGTGTATTCATAAAAATCACAGTGAAAAACTAAATCGTTCACTGGATTCTATTGGATATATAGGAACAAAACTAAAACAATAGCTCTACACTTGGCAGGCTAATATTTTCACTGACATTTACATAGATAAATGAAATGAGCTGTACCTCATTTACCCACCCCACTCTATTATAAAACAATGACAATATTTTTACCAGTGTCTTGAGGAATTTTATTAAATCTCCATGGAAGATGGAAGGTGCCTTAGCTGTATTATAGTCAAAATCAGTTAGCCATTCCAAGCAGTCAGTAGTTGTTTGCAGCTGCACATCTGAATACTGCTTGCTAACTTTGGCCTGTATCTCTTTAATGCAATGTTCTATGCTATAAAAAAACAAACAATTATTTTGGTTGGAAGTAGGTAACAACTTCATATTATAAAATGTTTACATGTCGTATCTTGTTGAACATCTATAAAATTATTTTAAAATTCTATGATGTAACAATAATAAGGGAAAATATTATTGCTTGGTTGAAATGTGAAAGTTCTGATTTTCTGGCTGAAGAAAATACAATAGCAGAAGTATTAAATATTTAATAACTTAGAGATGAGTTAGAAATTCTTTTGTGCTAACACTAATACCAAGCATAATAGAACATTAGCATTCTTAACAAGGCAATGGGTAAGGGGCATAGAAAAAAATATTGTGAACATCAGACTATACATTATGTACTAACAAGTGAATTACAGCGTAAGTTGTGGAAAAGCTTAATCAAAGGAATATTAGGAGTTCAGGAACAGTTCTAAAGGGATTTTAGTTTTAAGTGTTGTAAAGGATACAAGCAGTATAAAATGTTACTATCACTAAATATTTTGTTGCCAACCAACTCTATCCCAAAAAACGAAACATATACTGAAAATTTCATGAAAAACTGAAAGTAAATGAAGTGAAACACTAATAATAAGTATATTTTTATGAGAAAATTACATGAGGTTTAGATTTTACTTTTCTGTATTTCCTGTTTCTTTACCAAAAACTAAATTGAGGAAAAAATTATTGAACAGAATCTTGAATTATGTATTAAATTCCATTAAACCATTGGTATGATAAAAAAGATATATATTATGTAATTTCCCACATGTAATTAGATACATTCATAATTATAAACTTTTGCGAGGGTAGATACATTCATAATTATAAACTTTTGCGAGGTAAACTGGTGACCTTTCACATCGTGCCATCTATGGAGCAGTACGGAAGTGATATATTACCACCACCTGATGGCAGCACATCTAAACTGCAAGAAAGCTTTTGTACAAAAGTGAGTGGCTTTGAACCTGAATCCCTTCATCCAAAATTGACAGCTATAAAATTGACAGCAGCTTAATAGTATTAAAGAAAGCATTGTTATAACAAGTTAAAATTACCGTTTTGAAAGGACAATTGCTTTTAATTGCAGGTTCCATATGATGCAACCGCATAGTTTTATAAACCAAGCTCTGATTATTAAAGCTCATGTTAAATGAAAGCATCTTTTGATACTATTCATCAGGTATGGGTTGCCTCTAAAACATATAGTGTAAATATTATATACTAAAGTTTTTTGAGAGACTTCTGAGCATGAGTGAATTCAAACTAAATTACCTTGGAAAAAATAGAGAATCAAAGAGCCTTTTCATGAAAACAAGAACTTAGAAGAAAAATAATACCTCCTCTGGCCACAGGCCACCTAATTTCCTGATGGAAGAGTTTAGGTATTCAGGAATACCAGTTCAATCCGACAAGAGATTGGCATGTGCTTTCCAACTTACATAAGCACTTCCATGGACCAAGAAACACAATGCCCTAGGCATACATCTTGATTCCAGGATCCTTTATCAAAGGTTTGCATTATAGCATCCTCATGTGTCTCACTCAAGGAAACCTAATAGACTGCAGCAATGTGAATTGGAAAGGCTCCGCAGTTAGTCTACCTAAATCTGCTTCAATCAGGACTCAGCTTTTAGGCTAATCTCTAACATCTGAATCTGGATAGAGGCCAAAAATGACAATGTACAAATAGGGTAAAGCCTTCAGGAGAGCTAGATATTTTAGTAATTTGTCTAAACACTGATAAAGGGATTAAGTTATTGCATTTCAAGAGACCCCCTCATTGAGATAAATTAAGACACTTGGGCTTCTTGTTAAAAATTATTTTGAAAATTATATTAAGTGAAGTAAGCCCAGCCCAAAGAAACATAGGTCTATGGTTTCCCTTATTTGCAATAATTAGTATATGTGTAGGACAAGCAGAAAAGGTCAAAAGCTATGTACATATGACCACATAAAATGATTAAGTGAAATGAACCCCAAGATAAGGACACAAGTGTTTTTTTTTTCTTTCTTGCTATTGGTTTTAACGTATTTATAATGTCCTATATGATTTTTTTTGTTTCTTTTGTATATTCTTCCCCCACGGAATAACCCGTTTTCACTGTATTTGATCCTGGTGCCCTGAATTTTGTATAAACATTTTTCTAATTTGGGGAGGGGAAGGGAAATAACAAAAGGTTTAAATAAGAATACAGGTTGACCCATTGTAACAATGTGATGTACAAGACACTATGTTGAAAACAAACTTTACAACTTGGGTTGGGGAAGAGCCAGGGAGGGAGAAGTTGAGGAGGTGGGGAGAGAAGGGACGGTAGGGGAAAAACAAAGGAGGGGTAACAATACTTAATAGGAAATGTACTCATTACCTTATTCGTTTAACTGTAATACCTCTGTACAGTATTTTTACAATAATATATATAATAAAAATAAAAATTATTTTGACAATTAAATGGCTGAATATCTTGTCAATATGTCATTCAACATTGTCCATAATCTCTTTTTTAAAACTCATTTTATTGCTTGTCTAATTTTTAAACAAAGGGATATTTTTAATATTTAAAATGAATGTCATGCCTATCATCCTAGCAATTAAAGGGTTAAAAGAGAAGAATCTCAAACTCAAGAGCCAGCCTAGATTACCTAGAGATTTCCAGACAAACATGTATTGTAGAGTGAGACCTTTCCTCAAACAAATAAAAAAGATGAATGTCATTTTAATATGCAGTCTAATAATTTATCTTGAGGTCAAAATTAAATTAACATTCAATATTTATGGCAATGTTTTCAAGTGTCACATTTCAAATATTATATTCACGTATGCATAGGAATTCATGGAGAGGGTAATCTGGGGAAGGATGTATTCTTGGATTCATAGATGTAAGATCTTAATCTAGGTTTTCTTAAAATAACACATCTAGCTGGGCCCTGGTGGCTCACACCTGTTATCCTAGCTATTCAGGAGATGGAGATAGGAGGATCGCAGTTCAAAGACAGCCAAGGTAGGAAAGTCTGTGAGACTCTTATCTCCAATAAACTACTCAGAAAAAGCTAGAAGTGGCATTGCAGCTCAAGTGGTAGAGCACTAGCCTTGAGCACAGAGAAGCTCAAGGACAGGACCTGGGCCCTGAGGTCAAGCCCCAAGACAAGCAAAAAAAAATTAAAAATTAAATAAAAACACCTGCCTTTATTTTGCATTGTTTTCTATTTAACTGCAAATTGCTTCTAATTTTTTAGAACCAAGGTCAGTCATGAAAATATAACCAACCTGCATATTGTAAAATCCCAAACATTATGGTAATGACTGCAGTAGGCTCGCTTCCCCAATAGTCTAACTTTACAAGTTAAGAACGATTTTATTTAGCAAGGACTTCTTGAAACAAGTTCTTTGCTCTATTTCTAACATTAAACCTACTAGAATAAACCTGACATCAACAGAGTGACTAAATGAACCAGCAGTTCACTTGGTAGAATCTAATCATGAAAAGAAAGTAGAATCGTATTTATCAACATGTATGTTGAAATATATGTAAATATAAATGGATGGTAAAATGTAAATACATGTATAAAATACAATGCGAATCAGGAGAAAGTACACAGTATGGTATCAATCCTATAATAATTTGAGAATATGCCATATAATCCACATTCATCACAGGATTATAAACACAGGCAGTGGAAATGTGAGAAATGCACTGGAATGATCCTACCCCACTTTCTGGCAGGGTGGGATGGAAGTGACATGCGGTTTGGGAGGGGATCCTAAAGAGACTTAGCTGGACTAGTAATATTTTATCCCTTAAACTGGACAGTGAGCACATGAGTACTTACCAGAATACTCTATCCTTTTTCCTGTGACTCAAAACTTCTTAATAAATTTTAACTCCAATGTGCTTTAATTATAATGAGTCTAAATTATCCAAGTTAATGGTGTGTACAAGTAGATGCATTTCTGAGGTGCTGCGTATAAATCAATTTATAAATCATTTAAAATGTTGAGTATGCTTTTTAAAGAATATTTGTGGTGATTTTCCCAATGGTTCTCTTTCATTTCTATAAAACCTGCATATTGAATTGAAGGCATTATTTGATAAACATAAACTGAATGATGACTATGTGGTGGGCACAGTGTCATATATTGGGGACCAAACATAGTCATCATCATATCCCTAAAAGATTGTGTATAGTGAGCGAGACAGACTTGTGAACAAATAATAATGCATTAAGACTTTAAGAAGTATATACAGTAGGCTGAAGGAGTATACAGAAAGGAGATAATATGCCTGTGAGGGGTATAAATATTGCTTTTTAGAAAGAGATTGTATAGAGATTGTATAGAAGAATCACTGAACATAAAACATAAAATTCCTAACATCTGGCCTTAAAAGAATCCATTATTGATCCTATAACTTCAATGATGTCTCACTTTATAACTCTATTTTGGGATATTAAAAATGCAAATTTATTTTAAGGTCACAACTACATTTAAGCATATACATGCATCTGCATGCACAGAAAGATGCATTCTTACCTCCAAAATGATTGATGCCCTGAAAATAAAAAGTTGGCATTGAACAGTAACAACAGCATAAAAGCCTATTGGTTTGGGGCAGGTATAGTTGGGGGGTAGGGAGAGAAATTAAGAAAAAGGGATAAAAATTATGACATATAATTTTGAAACACAGACTTACTGTAAAAGCTCCTGCAAGATTCAGAATACTCTTTACTATTTAATCTCACAGAGGCTGGGAATGTGGCTTACTGGCAGAGTGCTTGCCTAGCATGCATGAAGCCCTGGGTTTGATTTTTCATTACTGCATAAACAAATAAGGTTAGAAGTGGCAGTATGGCACAAGTGGTAGAGTTTTAGCCTTGAGCAATTCATCTCAAAGCCCCAGGACTGGCAAAAAAAAAAAAAAGTGCCTCACAGAGACTTTTCTGCCTGGGCTGGCTTTGAACCACAATCTCAGTCTGCTCAGTAGCTAGGATGACAGGTGTGAGCTACTGAACCTG